GTACACGGCAAATGCTATCGCTTTCAATAATGTTGAACTTCGATTCATCACTGAACAGGACAGTTCGCCATTTCTGCACATTCCAGTCAATATGAGATGTAGCAAACAGGAGTCTTTTCTTTTGGTTCTTTAGTGAAATCAGCGCTTTCTTTGCAGGGCGTCGAGAAAACAATCCGGCTTCAACAGCACGTCGACTGATTATTCGGTCCAATACAGGCAGCTCTAATTGCTTTTGTAAATCGACTGATAATATCCAGGAATCCTTCTTGACGGATCTAACGATCATAGAATCTTCTCTAGAAGTGGTGGAACGCGGTCTTCCACCTTTGTTATCTGCTGCCAATTTCCCCGTAGAATGATATTTGGAACATAGTCTTGATACGGTCCATTTTTTCACGCGATATTTATCGCAAATACTTTTTTGTGACATTCTACTTACGTAATCGCCAATAATTTTCTTTCTTAGTTCCAATTCAAGACTGTCGGGAGCCTTTTTGCACTTGAAGTCATAAAAATAGTAAAAATAAGTAATCACGCTTCTCAAGGCTTACCGTGTTACATTTACCTTGTGATGATACAATGCTCTGTGGAACACAACGTCTTGGTTGGATGTGGACTGTATTGATGTAATGAAACACTTGTGCATTTCACTTTTTGTATTGATGTTTTTTTTTGATAAAACACTTTGATAAAACTCACTTCGATAAACTGTCTTGATAATACTGACTGATTGACTTCCATATAATGACTGAATTACATGTCGGTTTACATGTCTTCTATATAGTAAAATGAACCTGTTCTGGAAGATTCTAGATGCTTCTGGAAGCTTCTCGTTGCTTCTGGATACTTCTGGAAACTTTCTTTAATTATTGAAAAATTTCCGTGACGTTGACACGGACCAGACTTAAGAAAATGAAACAAACCGAAAAAGTTGCACTTGTTTTGTCCGCTGCAAAATGGCACTTGCCAACGAAATTCTCCCTATGTGCTGTCACCTGATTGCTCATGTCATGGCATGACTCCAGACTCCTGAACTGTTTGCTGTGGTGGTATAGCTCGTTTCTTTTTTAAGATATGTAAAATTAGGAACAGTTTTTAGCATTGTTCGATGTTGGTTGCAAATGTTTTGTCCAATACTGTATATTTAAAGGTGGATTATTTATCAAAATACTAATATTATAAGTTGCTTATAGTTTTAAAATTTTATAGAATATAAATTTACTTTACTGGATTTCCAAAATTTTTATTATATAGCAAAATGCGTATATAAAAAAGAGGTTCCCGTACGAAAATTTCCCATGGGAATTTTAGAAAAAAAACCCATGAAAAAACCATGGGTATTTGGAACACGTTCCCATGAAAAAACCATGAGTTTTCCATGGAAAAACCACGAGTTTTCCATGGAAAAACCATGAGTTTTCCATGGAAAAACCATGAGTTTTCCATGGAAAACACATGAATTTCCCATGAAAAATCTTTAAGTTTTTCATGGAAAAGTGTTCCAAATACCATGGATATTCAATGATTTTCCATCCATGGAAAAACCATGGAATTTCCATAGGTATTAGGAACACCTTTCCAATGAAAACTTATGGATTTTTCATGGTAAAAAAGCATGATTTGTTTTCAAGTTTTTTATCTAATGTTATTTGAATTGTCATATTAAATCATAAAAGCAAATTTTATCCCACTTTTATTGAGTTCTCTTAATCTATGAGATCGCTTTCTTCAAATAAAATCAATAAACAAAATAAAATTTAAATCTTGTTAAATCCTACAAATCTTTGAAAAATAATAGCTATAATGCACCTAAAACATCAAAACTTGACTTCCACACAATATTTAATGCATGCATATGTATAACATACTGAAAATAAATAAAACAAAAAATTACAAGTAATATAATACTATAAGTGATATACATAGTGATAAACAATTGAAACTTATCAAGAAAACAATTTTTACAAAAAATAAAACAATTTACATGTTTATTATTTTATATTAACTATTTGATAAAAATAGTATATATAAATTTGATAATAACTTCAAGTTTTAACAAGTTAAAAAGAACCATCAATACAACATATTTAATTCAAAAAAACATCAAGCCCATTTATAAATGCGTCTGTACTGTATCTGTAGAAACAGGTAGATGTTAAACAAAGTACCATTCACATATTAATATTCATTTTTTTTCACCCTAGTTAGTCTCATTCTCCATTTCACCAATCTAGACAATACATCATACAACTATTATATACATTCTAACTAGTTTTCTTTATTTACTAATTCATTTTACTTATAATTATTATCTATTATAACTTACTTTATAATTAGGCATTATACACAATTATGAATGTTGCCAAATGTTAGGTATATAGAAAAAAGTAGCAATGAATATATCATTATTTATAAATGCAAATTATTAGATTGTTACCTCTTTTTTGCCTAAGCTATCTGCATTATGTACAACATCGTTTATATTTCCAGTCAAACATTCCTGCCTATAATGTAACTTTATTAAAATGATTTATTCAAACTAATACATATATAAATGTTACCTGCATGTTAGAAACATTTATATAGAACAAGGCAGCAACAAATATTATATTATATATTTACTTTTGTAATTAAAAAAAAAACTTACTTCTTCTTCTGAGCTATCTGCATGATGTACAACATCATTTACAAACCTGTTTTCTTCACGTCCTTCCATTTTTTAATATATTATAAAGCACAGGACTTGTTAATGAACGGCTAAATAAATAAATTAAAAATTTATATTTAAATGAAATGATAAGGTTAAAATGAAAAGATTTATACACATATATAAATTTTACCTGCATGTTAGTAACATTTATATAGAATAAGGCAGCAACAAATATAGTATAACTTATAAATTGTAATTTTAAGTAAAAACTTACTTCTTTGTCTGAGCTGTCTGCATGATGTACAACATTATTTATATTGTCAGTCAAACTTACCTGCTTATAATGCAGTAATTTAAATAAAATGATAAAGTTAAAATAAAAGAACTTACGCACATACCATTAAATTCAAAAATTTATTATATTTTTACTTCACTATTTAAAACATAACAAATATGTAATTTATAAAGTATAGTAATGTAAAAGCATAGTAAATATCAAAGTGTGTGCAAAAATTAATTTATTTTAACTAAAGACGAGCACTTTACATCAGTTAAATATAAACAAATAAAAATAATTGTATTATAATAAATAATAGTGTATTATTTATAAACATTGCTTTTATATTCTTATATTTAACTATGAAGTAAAATCTTGTGCATTAAGTAAATTCCCTTACTGATACTTATAAAATATTACCACAGTTTTCCTTCTCCAACTAAGTGGTTCTTGGAACATCCTTACAAGTTGAATCCCAAAGATTACGTTTATATCTTTTCTGGTTTAAACTCAATTCACCATTTTATTTTGACAGCTTTTGAACTATTTTTAAAAATATTAAATGCATATAAAAACTGACGATGTTATAAACAATATAAACGATAAACAACATTATTTATATTGCCAGTCAAACCTGTTGGCTTATAATGTAGTAATTTAAATGAAATAATAAAGTAAATATAAAAGAATTTATAAACATTATTTATATTACATTATTTACATATTCTAATAATTCTAAAGAAAAAACTACAACAAAAAGACAAAAACAACTTAACAGAACTAAAATTGAATAGAACATTTATCATAAAAAAATGTTTTTTAATACTTAATGAACATTTACGATACAATAAACTTCAAGCATTTTTATGTAATCTAAGGCTATTATAAAAAAAAAATAAAAAAGATCATACTAGTTATCTTTTGTACATTAGTTATCTAATCTTATTATCTTAGTTATCTAATCTTATCTAATATACTGCTTGTATATTAATATTTTAAATAAGTTTCTTTAATACGTTCGATAAATTTTATAATAATAATTATACTAGTTTGAATGTACATTAAATTACACTATGTACATTAATACACTAGTTATTTAATGTAGATTAAAACTAAACATTTATTTGTTGTAAACCAAATAATAATTATTTGGCAAATAATTTGCCAAGTAGGCATTAAAATTCAAACTGGTTTACTTGACATACTTGCTATACTATTGCAAGTTATGCAAAGTAAGCAAAGCTACTGGAAACAGTTAAAATAAGTATATGCATAAATGATATATAATAAAATATAATTAAAAATAATCCCTTTTATAATGCATTATAATATGATAAATATATCTAGTTGTTTATGTCTGTATGTTTAGTTAAAACATATAAATGTATTGCATTATAAAAAACATATAATTCATAGCCTTATTAAACACAGAAAAACAGAAGAATGCAGTAAGTATTGTTTTCTAATTTAAAAATAATCATAACTCTACGAGCTATGACGCCATCTTTAAAAGCGCATTTGTAACAACCATGGCGCAGCTTAAGCTATGAAAAAAAAACATGGTTCACCCATGGAAATTCCATAGGATTTCAATTTTCATGAAATTTACCCATGGAAATTCCATGGAATTCCCGTTTTTCATGGGAAAACCATGGTTTACTCATGGAATTCCATGGGTTTTCCATGGAATATTTCCGTAAGGGTTACGGAGCTTCAACTCCTGCTTCGAAAGCATGGATTGGTTTCGATTAATTTTCTCAAATTTTGATAATTCTAATTGGAATTTATTACGAAGATCAAACGTGAAAACGTAGAGCATAGTTCGAAAATAATATTTATTTTGCATAAATTTATAGTTTTTATTGCGTAAAATCATTAATTTTTTAATTTAAAAAAATAATAAAATTCGTTTCTTAGGCCCGGGTTGAAAATAACACAGCCCTAATATCTACAAAAACAATATCTTTTTAAAACACGATGGACAAATTTTAAAAATTAAATTTTTAGAAAAAAAAACTTAAGTTTATGAAGTAAAAAGTTTAATCACACTGGCTAAATTATAAAACAGCTTTGTAAAATTATTCAAATTTATTGTGAAAAATAGAAAAGCTTAAGAAAAGTCTTTTACATTCGAGTTCTAAACACATAACCATTATCAATATTTCTCCATTGCGTTCAGTACACGTTGTTTCAAACTGTAATACATTGTAATTTTCTGACGCACCAATTCATTGCAGACGTTAACCTGTCGATTTCTCTTTATTCTGCCACCATTTGACGGATTTTTTCATGCAAACCCGAGCCGTACATGGTACCTGTCCAGGTTTTTCACAAATACAAAAGCAATGTCCATATTTACCAAAATTAGCCGGGTTTAATCTACCCGGATATTCAACTTCTTCTGACTTCAATATTTCACTAAAAAAAAATTATGTAACTAAAATTACACTAAAAAAAAAAGAAAAAAAAAACACAACCAGAGGCGATTTTACGGGTGTGTGTGTGTGGCACCCTCCTTCCCCTAAAGTAGGTGATTTTTAAGTTATAGTCGGTTTTTTTTACGAATTTAGTCGGCCAGCCGGGTATTTAATACCATTCAGTCGGGTGAATTTAAGTTTTAAAGACCTTTTTTTAAAAAAAGAAGGTACTTCTTAAAGATTCACCCTCCCCCCTCATTTTATTCGTAGAATAACAGAAAAAGCAGAGCTAGCTGATTTGAAACAATTTTTTAAGCGAAGAACCTGAAAGTGTTAAATATGCATTATAAAAAAAAACAATTTTCTAATTTTTATAACCTAAATAAAAATGCTTACCTATGAGGAGCTGCACCTGCGACTTCGACAAGCTTTAAAATTTCATCAGCAGGTTTATTATCTACAGCTATCATTTGTTTACCGCCATCAT